AGCAAATTGTTTCTTCCATTTTGTTCAGAAATATCTTGAAGTTCGCCACTAAATTCTTCTGAAATTTTACCTAAATTTTTTTTAAATTATTTAGCAATTTGTTTCGTGATGCCTTCTCGAGCAGAGAATGAAAACAAAAAGATACAAGCGTTTGTGATAACATATTTTGCCTACCGTGTGCTCGAGTTAACAGTAATCATAACAAAAATGAGATCTAAATGGTATATGAAGGATATTAAAAAGATAACAAATCATGTTTTCTTGATAACAAACCATGCATGCGTTTTTTTTTTTTTTTTATCTCTTTATTAAGGAGACTTTTAGCCGTTGGCTGGCGTATGCGTTTTGATATTGATTATTTCGTTAATAATAAACAAAATAAGTAATCAATATGTATTATTACTATGGTAGGAAAGCGGAAAAATAATCTAAACCAGTTATTATTTTGCTATCTATTCTATTGGTTGATATCAATAAAGTGCTAATGGTGCCAAACTAAAGTACAGAACCGGAAATAATCATCCAGTGGTAAAAATTACAAGAAAGTATATAATGAACCGCTTTCATCATTATAGACAAATAACAGACTCACCTCTAATCAAAAACTGGCATTCGCGAATTTGGTACCCGAAGAAAATCCAATGGTTAAAATATGACGAACGATTGAAGTTTATTAGATCCAATAGCATAGAATTAGACTAATGTGAAATGTGACTTTTTTTTAAATTAAGAGTTTAGTTTTCACGGCAAAATCTAGTGGTATTATATTCAATATAGGACACACGAATCATGTAAAAAAATAGGCTACGATGATGACTCTTGTATTATTATAAATGATCAATTCCTTCGCATCGAACATATTTTAACAGACACGAATTATGAAATTTATTTTGTTGGGAGAGTTAGTTAGACAGATAGTTGATGAGATTTATGACAACATATATTTGAATATGAGCTAAGAAATCAACTAAACCTACGAAAGTTAATAACAATATTTTGTGGTAAATTTGAAAGAAAGGGTACTTGGAGTGTAGAGCGCACTGCCCACTGGACGATTCTGAAGCCTAGCCAAGTGAGTGGGGTATGGGTTTATTTGATTGAACGTCATTTCCAATGTATATATTGATACATTCAAACCATTGGCATTTGAGATAAGACAGAGAAAGTTTACGGAGGGCCCGCTTAGGAGGAGCGTAACCCATGTTATGGTTTCCATTTATTAAATAGTTCAGATAGGCTAGAAATGACAGGTTTATAGTAAGAGAAGGTACCATATTGGGAAAGCATAGTTTTCATAGGGTTCAGAGCGGCTGAGCTGTTCGTTTGTAGTTTGACCTTCCTTCAAAACCAATTTGGCACTAGAACAATTTTAAACTTCTTCTGCATTATTCACATGTTGCAATTATTGAAAAGAGGTCGTTATAAGATAGCCACAGAAAACAGGCGTTGAGGCTCCAAAATTTCTCTAAAAACTTGTGTAAAGACTCCTATTCGACTTAAGCGCCACTAACGACGACTTCCCCACTTAAAAACCCTCTTTGACAACATGATGGCGCTGGCGTTGCAAAACTTACACTAGACACTAAGTGCTGGTAGCGCCAAGTGGCAATTTTCAGCAGGTAATTTATCGGTACTAGCGCCAAATTGGTCGAAAGTGATAAATTTATAGAGGAAATCAGGAGATGCTAGCGCTACGTAACGGCAACGTTTCCACTTAACTTTACACAAGTTTCTGACCGAACTTGGACATCTGGTCTCTGTGAGATAGCTTAATACAATTAAATAGAAATGCCAAAATCTTACCGTCATCTTACCGTCGTCTTAGCGTCACTGGATGACACGGGGGTGGGGGGCTTGGTCACTGATAATGACAATAAAATAAATAAACTTGAATAAGTAAGAAGGGTCTGATCACACCATAGGTGGATAAATTCGGGTTTTTTAATTACTCGATTAACAACCAATCGATTATTTTTTGTTCGCTGTGCTGCCATTTTTCCACCAATGAGAGTGCAGCACATGTTTGAAACGATCGGTGATGATCCGCTGGAGATGTTATTGGTTATATGGGCATGATGTAACCAAGGGGGGGAGGTGGCTGTCAAATACGAACAATCGTCGCCTACCTCGCATGCCTCGCATAACTGGTTCCAAACGTAAACAAGCCATAAGAAACCTACAGCGATTGTTTACGTTTGGAGCCAGTTCCATACAATAATGATCAGTAGGCTGATTTGACAGCACATCCCCCCCCCAGGATGTAACCGATTACAAATATTTTGTTTTTCGGTTCGTTAATCGATTATTCGATTATTTGAATGAAAATCGGCCATCACTAGATGAATGTGAAACGTCATTTCAAAAATAAGGACCGTACATAAATAATGATACAATTTGAAAGGGACCTGAGCTAATCACAAATTACGTCCCCACGGTAACTGAAATAAACACGAGTGTTCACCGGTTGGTTTAGCTGTTCTGATTTCGGTACAGTTTGTTGAGGTCGGGTATAGTTTCTGAGTATGGATGCCCATTTAGAAATAACTCATATTAGCACAGGGAATTTTCTTTTGGGATCGCCTTTTCTTCATACAATTCTCTTTATTCATACTATACTAATCATGTTCAGTCTTAGAAAATGTTATATGTTTAAGCCCCGTTCTAGATTTGTTTGTTATTCATATCTTATGCATTGCAGCTCGCGAGAGGTTACCAAATATGGGTTCTTTTTCTCATCCGCAATAGTTTGGGGTGGGGGGGGGGGGGGGGGGGTGGCGATCTGAGAGCTGAATAGAGGCAAATAAAATAGGGAACACAACACCATGACCCAAACAACTAACCAACGCATGCAACTCACACTTAACTTGTTCTATTTCTTTCTTCCCGTCATGTACCAATATTACCTACCTGAGAACAAATGGGAACACGACCAGATTTTCAATAGGAAGAAGGAAAAAAGCGAGAAAACGTAAGAGAGTAAGCATTCAGAAAGGATTAGGCCATTTGGAAACAGCCAATTTATACTGGACGGAACTGGTAAGTATGATAAGAATTGTAAAAGGTGTGTATATATTTTAGAATTACCTATAAGCATAGAGGTAACTCTAAGACAAGTAAGTCCCGAAGAAACGTGCTCAACTTTTTGGCTCAGCTCTGGTACTATCTTCGGTCCCAAGCTAGTCGAATCACCCCTCGAAACATAGGAAAATCCAATAACCCCTCATTTTATCTGTCAAACTTTCATGAATCAAATCAAACATAGTGTGGTACTAGAGTTTTGACTGGAATGGGGTACGTTGATCGATTTGCTTGGGACCAATAGGCTAGTCAAGTAGTGAGCCAATTTAAAATCGTTAGTTTCGTATTGATTGTTGCTATAAGCCACATGAGAACCTAATTTTCTTCAATTACTACTCCATTGCAGCACACACCTAATAATGATCACTAACATTCATATAGGGTAAATGTTGGCTTCGGCACCCATTGACTGTTTTCGGCAACCTAAATTTAAACGTTAATTTCACTATGTTTTCCCATCAACGCACTTCCCTGAATATGTCCAAACGATTGTTTAGCCTTTCAGCTTCAATCTGATTATATTTGAACGATCGAGTAATCCAGTAATGCTACATTTTTCTTCAAATAAAGCATACGCACTACAAAATGGGGTTGATTTCCAGTTGCCGATAATAGAACAGCTGGTTAACACGCAGTTCTAATGGATAGGTTGCCGAAGAAAAAGAGGCTGCCGACAATAGTCACACTCACCTGAGAAGTTTGGAGCGTTGTAAAAACGCTTTCAAAATGTTTTGAAAAATTCTGTCGATTGGAATGGATAGAGAAGCAAGCAGCAGATGAATGTAAACAAACAGACACATCATATATGTGCGTGACGCTGAGAAAATGCTAGTAGAAGTGCAGACGCTGCTTAGAGATTGACGAGAATACGTAAATTCCCCTAGTTTCAGCATTATCGACATTTATAATCAAAAGGTGAGTTGCAAAGTATAATTACCATGCATAGAATATAAGTTAATGTACCAGAACCTGGACGGACACGAGCCTTCCCAGGGGAGGACACGGATACGACCACCCATGTGTGTGTAGAGTATCGCACGAGCTGACGAGTGCAACGGGAAGGACAGTAGGTGTATAGACTAGGGGGTTAGTCCCTAGATAAACCAACTTAGCGGTTGGCACAGCCTATACACTGAACAATTACAATTACAATTACAAAAATGCGGTTACCTATTAAATGAGTTTTTTTTTCATATTGTTGAGTAACTGTTATTCACAAATGAATAACTTTTACACATTTCTGTACAAAGAATTTTACTTTTTTAATGGATACCATAACAAAAATAACCGTAGGAAAGAGCTTAACGACGTGTACGGGATATAATCCAAAACATTTATGGGATAGTTTCTGCCATCCGGGCTACCGTTCGTTTATGATATTTGTTTATTAGGGTAGTCAATTTTTCCCTCAAAAATGCATACTTTATTGTCATTATTGGGTATTTTGCGGAGCAATGAACAAAGTTTGTAGTGGAATTCGGCCAATTCGCCTAATTTTCCAAAATGGCGTATTTGATATTTTTCAATCGAGATCATCAAGGCTGGTTGTGTTGGTGCGCTCTGTGAGAGTGCAGTTGTGAAAATTCAAAGAAAATATATGACAAACCGCTTTCAAACTGATTTTGACAGATTTCATACATTTTGAGGTTAGTACCCGAGGAAAATGATAAACAGCGCTACACGGCAACAACGTCACTAATCTCTATAAATCGTAGCAAAATAACGGTTCTTGTAATCGAGATGACGTCTGATACAAAGTTGTTGGAAACTGGATTGCCTTTTCAGAAAAAAATACATCCTGAAAAAAAAAATCGCAAATTTTAGTAAAAAAATATTTAACAAAACTGTTTAAAACTTAAATTGGCATAAGCATAAACATAAGCATGATTGACCGCCCACGGTTGCTACTCTGTTATTGCCAGATCAACTGTAAAGGGCGAACACGAAATTATTGCGACACATTCAACAGGGCATAACTTTTTTACCATTGGGTAAAAATCAACCAAATTTTGCACACTTTCTCATTGATGTGTATTGTGTACATGCTGTCAAACTCGAAGTCGTGTTTTTCGATTCAACGAAAATGGAGGTGAACCAACGCGAGTTGAGAGAACAAATTCTTTCCAAACACCTGGAATTTCCTGACCTGTCGCACCGGCAGTTGGGAAAAATGTTGAACATTCACCATTCAACCGTCTCCAGAGTGTTGAAGCGGTTCCAGGAGCGGTTGACGTTGGACCACGGCAAAGGAGCTGGAAGAAAACCGGGACCGGAGAACAAAAAGACGGAGGGAAAGATGAAGCGGATGATTAAAGCAAATCCCAACGTCTCAAGCCGTGATTTGGCTAAAAAGATCGGCATGTCGCAGAGCTACGTCCAGAATGCAAAGAAGAGAGCTGGACTACATACATACAAGGTACAGAACTTCCCAAACCGCGATGAGCGGCAACAATCGACGGCTAAAACTCGGGCACGGAAGCTCTACGAGAAGATGCTGACAAAATATGGCTGCTGTGTGATGGACGACGAAACGTATATAAAAGCCGATTTTAAGCAAATTCCGGGGTTGGAGTTTTTCACCGGCAAGAGCAAGTTCGATGTGGACGACAAATTTAAGAAGAAGAAAATGTCGAAGCTCGCCTCCAAATATCTCATTTGGCAGGCCATCTGCTCTTGTGGACTGAGGAGTGAGCCTTTCGTGACACAGGGTACAGTAAATGGCGAGATCTACAAATCTGAGTGCCTCGAGAAGCGTCTTTTGCCGTTCTTGCAGCAGCACGACGAAGCTCCGCTATTTTGGCCAGATTTGGCATCATGCCACTATTCTAAAAGTGTCCTGGAGTGGTATGAGGCCAATTCTGTCCATTTTGTTCCAAAGGACATGAATCCGCCAAACTGTCCGGAGCTGCGCCCGGTGGAGCAGTACTGGGCAATAATGAAGCGGGAACTTCGGAAGAGCAAGAAGACAGTCAAAGACGAGAAGGACATGTTAAGAAAACGGAAAAAAAACTGAGAAACTGGTACCGGATGACACTGTAAAAACTTTGATGGAGGGCATCAAGCAAAAATGCGTTCAATTTTACACTCAAGGCTCCATCGATTAACTTTTCTTTTGATTTTTGAAGTAAATATATGTATAAAACTACCCTAAAATTTTGGTTTGATTCTAAACATTATAAGAAAATTGGCATGACATTTTCGGTGTCGCAATAATTTCGTGTTCGCTCTTTAATCACACAGAGAACCTGCTTGGGACTAGCAATCATCCTCAATGTGTAAAAACTGGTGATCTCAAAATACACAACACCAGTGCCGGCCGCGCCCGAACGCCGGTCAAGAAAGAAATTGGTAGGAATGTGTGGACGTGACACACTTCAATTGCAAAAAAAGTACATTGTCATGATTTTCAAACTTATGATTATTTGAAAGCTTATCAAAAGTGCTAAAGTTTTTGATATTTGACTCAATGCACACTTTAAAATTGACCAAAATCGTAAAACATCAACTTTTAGCACATACGTACAGACATAACCCATTGAATATTTTTCACTGTAAAACATCGTCGCTAAAACATTACCGTCATCTGTTGAGTACACTGTGGTGGCGCTGAATAGATGTCGGTAGTGCGTAAACGTCAAACTCAAGGGAAATGACTATGTGCGCCACAGGTGGCGGTACTACCAACTACCATACTTTTAAATTGACCGTTTATGAACGACTTGTGAGTGTTATGTCTGTTTGTCTTTATTTTAGTTAAAATGATGAACTTTTTCACGCAATATTTACGTTATTTGTTCATAGGAATCGATTTTCTGGACTAAAAAAATGTTTTACAATAGACATTATTTGTGAAAAAAAAAAATAGTTCAGGATTTTGACTAAAAGTTGATGTTCGACGATTTTGGTCAATTTGGAAGTTTTTTTGTTTAATTCTTTGTTTAAGAGATTTTTAGCCGAAGACTAGTTCATCTCTCCAATTTTGAAGTGCCCATTGAGTCCAGTATAATAAAAACATTTTTGATAAGCTGTCAAATAAACGTAAGTTTAAACTTTTAATACATGTTCTTTTTTTGTTATCGAAGCTTCCAACAGTTTTGTTCTCCATTGTTCAAACGAAAATTTGTGATTTTTTTTCCCGGCTGAAAAGACAACCCCATTTTTCACAACTTTGTCTCAAGGGTTAAATTAAATCGATTCGTCAGTTGGTGTGGATTTGCTCACATGTATATTAGAGAAAAAAGTGAATGGCAATCATGTACAGTTTCGAGCTCGCGGAGCACTCTAATTACAAATAGCTGTCCCAGTGTTTGGCCAAGTTCTTGCCCAGTCCGGTTTCTCGACAGTTTGTCCATCCACCCCCCATTCCCATCGCAGGCAGCCATCGGAAGACTTTCCTCGCACACCAGAGATCTGCCTGCTCATGTGACAACAATGGATTCCAATTAAAAAATACTTTTCCATCTCTTAGTCAACGTTCGCAAAGTGCGATGATGCCGGGCTGTTGTCCTACCGTCGCTCATGGAGCTGTGCAGTGCAGCCCTTTTACGCTTTCGGGGCAACCTACATCAGGGAGAATGCTGCAGAAGACGAAAAAAAACAAAGAATGTGAATGAAGGATCCCTCTTCGGTTGGGAAAATGACTGCCAACGGTGATGATGAGTTGGATGGGTGGTGTCCTGGCCTGGAATTGGAAGCCCGTTGACGGCGACGATGGCGGTTGGTTTCCGACTTCCCCGTGTGTGTGTGTGTGTGTGTGCCGATGGTGACGGATGATCTGCACTGCATCGCATTCGGTTTTTGACATTTTCACTTGAATGGAGAGAAAGTCTCGAATGCAGAGCCATAGATGCGACTGTGGACTATTGGCGATGGGAGGCTGAGGAGCAAGCAGTGAGGTGTTTTCCGTTCGCGTTCACATTGTACTGCTTTGAATGAAATATTCCCATTCAAAGTTTTATCCGTTTTCTACATATTTGTTTTAGCAGAAGAATGCACATACGGACAGGTGTTAAGGGAGGCATGCAGTATTTTAAATATTCTGTAGCTCATAGACGCTCGCAAAGTTCGAAACTTTCAATTTTCCATACTAAACGACAAGACGCCCAGCTTCATCATTAACCGAATGAATACGATCCTAGTGGAGCAGCTTCCGTCGTAGCCCCGGCAGACATTTGTACGTTGGTAACGAGTATTTGAATTCCATTTCCTCCGGTGGTGGGTGTGACTGGTGTCTCATTTCTGGACCAGACAGAGAAACACCAGGATCAGAAGCAGCAGCACCAGTAGGGGCGTAATAACTGGCTCATAGCGTGGCTGCTACTGGTACCACAAAACCAGCATTATGGATTCTCGTATTTCACGACGCTAAAGCTAGTCCCAACCTGCCCACCTACCTACACATACCCACGGTTATGCTATCAGCGGCTGTGAATCTCGGATGTTTCTTATTTATTTTTCAGCTTTTCCTTTCGCCTGCTTACTAAATGTCTCAAGCTTTTATCATATCTGTTGGATCCTTTTCCCCCTCGCACTCGTCGCACATCCCAACGTTTCTTTTCTTGTGGTCGGTTCCCAGTTCTGAGGATTCAAAGTTAGCAAAAATAAAGACAAAAATCAAAAGAATGGCAAGAATAAATGTGTTTGTACCTATTTACTTCTCTTTTTTTTTTCTCAGACAGCGGACATGAAAAGTAAATATTTTAGGATAGCAAGAAGTTTGCAGAGATTTTTCCGGAGCTTGTTGAGCAGAATAAACGGAGAACGAGCCAAGTAAATTTGTCATTGAAGCTAGATATTTGCTGATTCTGAGGAAATTTGGCAAGGTAGAACTAGTGAGCAGACGTTTGTTTTGTGAATATGTTGTCTTCAATGATGCAATATTGAATGTGGAATATGGGGAACACTCATAAACTGCAGGTTTTCATCACACGTGTGGTTTAGACTGCAACAAAATCATTTCGCTATTAAGAATGTTTTTTGGAATTATGTTACCGTTATGATGTTATTTTGCACTTGTAAGTTATGTACAGGAGAGAGAGTCACAATCAGTGGTTTTAGCATTTTCATTCACCACCTCGCTCACTCGATTATAACATTGCTGATGTTGAGTCTCTGAAAGTGAAACCGACAGATTTTATGTGTCAAGCACATACTATATACCCTCTCCTAGTAACTTACAAGCAGCGTTGCCAGTATGCCAGATTTATCTGGATTTTCCAGATTTTTAGTCGTTTTGCCAGATACACAGATAGACCACTTATGTTTCTAGATTTTTTAAATATGTTCCAGATTTTCCCAGATTTTTTAAATAGGCTGCATTAAAAATATTACTGCGATTGATTTACCCTCTAATAAAAAAAAAATAAAAATCCAAACAAGCTACTCTAATTATTAAAAACCATCAATGTTGGACATTATTGGAATTTTAAGGTAATCCTGAAAATATTTCACAGTGAAGTGTGAAGCGAATTCCTTGTGTAATCAAAGAGGAGAACTTCAAGCTAATTCTGAGTAGAGTTCCATCCATCTTTTTGGCCTTCGTGGTCGTGCGGCGTCACCCATCGTTCAGGCGTATTGTGAGTGCCACGAAGTAAGGGTTCGATTCTCGCTCCAGCTGGTGCAAAATTTGACAACCTGAAAATTTCCCTACTGATCTACTGAGTGTGGTGTGTTGTCCGTTGTTTTGTGTTAAATACTTAGTCTGTGCAACCTCTGGTTGAAGACGGTGTCAATTGTCTTGTCAACTCCGATGACAAATGCATGGAGATTTTGTGAATATAGGAAATACGATCCGGAAGATACATCATAGGAAATTCTTATGATGAAACTTAAGGAGTATGCTGATACAAATTGTAAGAATAATTTCAATCGAATCCGTCCAATGTTTCTGTGGAGATTCATTTTAATAAAATTTTAAGACATTTTAACGTAATTATGTGAAATTTCTGGGAGACTTTCAAGGCCATTTTGGCAAAGTACTTGAGTAGTTAGGAAATACTGAAGAGGATTTCAAAATAATTCTGACCTTACCTACAAAGCAGTTCGAAGGGAATTATCGGATAGGTCTGAGAAGAGTGTGACGGTCATTTTGAAGAGTGCACCAAGGAAATTATTTAAAATATTTTAAGAATTTCATAGGGAAAACTGGACACAGGGAGTTCAGGAAATTGTAGAATAATGTATAAGAGATTAAAAGAGGTAACCCTAATAAACAAATACCATAAACGAACTCTATCCCGGATGGGTAAACTATCCCACAAATGGTTTGGATGATACCCCGAACACGTTGTTAAGCTCTCTTTTATGGTTATTTTTATTAGGGAATGCTTTGAATTCAAGTATGAATGTTACTGGGAAAGATTATTTTAGGGGAATCCAGAAAATAAGTTTGATGAAATTTTAGGATCATTCAAATGGAATTCAAAAAAAAAAATTGCGAAGATATCCTGTGAAGAGTTCCAAGTAAATTCAGACTAACAAAATTTTTAGGATCATTCAAATGGAACTAAAACAAAAGGGTGAAGATATCCTGTGAAGAGTTCCAAGTAAATTCAGACTAAAAAAACTTTCATGATCTGGGACCCAGGAAAAATAGAAATTCCGGAATTTATAATCATTTCAAGATCCTGAGCCATAAAAAATGACGCTATGAGACTTTCATTTTAATAATATAATAAAATTATTCCCTGGCATAAAATTATTCGTAATGGTCATTTATTTTTATTTTTTTTTATTTTTATTTAATACATCCATCTGACAATAAGTCTTAATGAACCAGAAGCCATAACAAATACTAAATGTATCTGGAGTTAATAATACGTCTCTGGAATTGAGCAGCAGGTTCCCCAAACTCGAACAAACTCTTCAATTGTAGAAAACGTGCGAATCATACTCGTAACAGGTTCATGTTGTCCAAAAGAAGAGCGGTGTGAGTCTTGACGCAATAGGAACGTTGAGCGTAGAAATCTGCTTGGCGCACGAAAGTTCAGGCAAGAGAGTAAGTGGGTAGAGTCAATTTCACCACTTAATAACTTCGCGACGAATGTTGCCTGTTGAATTTGTCGCCGTCGTTGTAACGTGTCCATGCTTAGCAAGCGACATCTCTCAGCATACGGAGGTAAGTTTAGTGGATCTCTCCAAGGAAGTTGTCTTAATGCTCGACGAATGAATGTTTTTTGGATACGTTCTATTCTGATGTTCCAGGAAAGTTGG